GAAGGCCAAAAATAAACTTTAGAGGCAAGCCCTGTCTCTTATACACATCTCATAATTCGTCGGGGTGAAAAAAAAGTATAGGCCTATGTATTTTCTACATATTTGATAGACACCAAAATCGATTAAATACCGGTAGCCTTTGAACCACTGAATTGCCATGTTTGTTGGGGAATTCTCACCCTGAAACACTTTCGACAGATCATGAGCGACGCCCGACCACACCCACTTTTTTTGTCGGGGACCTTGGACCCCGCCCCCTCCGTCGAGCAAATCGTGGCGCCACCACTGACGCACCAGCACAGTTAATGTGACCGTATCCCAGAGTAATACTTGCTTGTATCGTGGCCTTACTGTCGAGTATTACTCTTCTGTTCTTACTGAATGCTAGCTCCTGTTTCGATATAGGCCTACATTGTAACTTTAAGATATAATATTATATGCCTACAACATCTCTTCTATCAAAATGTCATGAATGAATTCGTTTTGGAATACATAAATGGAAACCGGATACAATTCATGATTTCATTAGCCACTTTATCAGTTAATAATAAACCAGCGAACAGGCCTAATTCTAAGTTGACTATCAGATGGAAAGTTTCCGTTTGTTTGCTCCGGCATTCCTTATCTTTTCCAGCAATGCCTCTAATGAAACACCTTAACCTTCCCTAAAGATACAGATAGTATTGAAGTAAAGGCGTATTTTATTAGTAGAATTATTGACATTCATTATGTCAAGAGATTCAATCTTCTGCGTTTCGCCATCTCATGGGCAGTCGGTGGGGGCACGTGGAAATGTAATCAAAAGTTAATTTACGTGACAATTTGTTTAACATCTTTTTTCGGAAGAGAGGGAAATGTTGCTCTTTTGGTGAGATTCCAGTGGTGGCGCTAGAGGGGGCTGGGGGGCCGCCCCCCCCCCCCCCCCCCCGGGGGGGGTCGGGGAAGACGATAAATTTTGTCGGGGAACAAACAAATAAGAAAATAATATTTACAATGTAATATTCGTTTAGCCACCATATCGTTTGTGTTACCTTTTCATCACAACAACAACCACAATAATAATAATAATAATAATAATAATAATAATAATAATAATAATAATAATAATAATAATAATAATAATAATTCAATGAGACTAATTAAAAATAATTTCCGTTCTGTTATGACAAATGCTCATTTAGATAGCCTCATGGTGGTTGGAATACATCGTGATAGGTGAAGCAACCTCGACCATGACAACATGGTTGACAGATTTCATGCAAAATTTCCAAAATATAGAATTTCACTTTCAAGAATGAGGATTTGAAAATAAATTAGATGGTTACATTGC